ATTTCATGAAATTCTTCTGTGTCAGCTGATTCTTTCTGATACAGTGACTCTGTGTGCATAAAGGCACTCTATTAAAGCAGGAAGACTCCTGACTGAAGACAATCAGCATTTACTCCACAGACAGCCTCTCCTGCTGTGTTAGTCTCCATCTCTGTGAAGGTTCCCTGGTTCTGCTGCTGCCTTTAGTGGTCTGACAAACTCAAAGTTAGCAGATACCCTGAAACAGCTATTGAATCAAGTTCAAAGAACCAGAGGTGATAAGTTAGGTGCAAGATTCAGACTAAAGAGAGCTTAGCCAGATTATTATATTGTATATGTTGTTAAGTGCCTTCGAGTTGCAGGCGATTCATAGTGACCCTATGAAGGAGAGTCCTTGACGCTTGGGTACCTTTCATCCTCTCTCCAGGTTCATAGGGTTTCTGGAGGCAAGCTATTATGGAAGTGGATACCACTCCTCCTTCCAAGCTTGTTTTCATCGGGGAGCTCCATCCACTGTCTGCATTGGGTAGCCAATCATTAACGCATTTGACACATCAGTGTCACGGTGTTCAGCCTCACAGCAACAAAAAGTGAATGCAGTACACCAGGGATATACGACCTAGAGGAATGTCTGAACAATGAAAGACAGGCCCGAGGGCTGTGGATTAAAAGTCACCCACCTTTGGCTTGGTAGCATCGCTTTCTGTCCACTGGGCCAGCTGATCTCTCTATGTTGATGTCATTGTTGCGACCCTATGAAGGAGAGTCCTCGATGCTCGGGTGCCTTTCATCCTTTCTCCAAGTTCATAGGGTTTCCGGAGGCAAGCTATTATGGAAGTGGATGCCACTCCTCCTTCCAGGCGTGTGTTGTGTGTGTATTTTCAGCAATATAGGAAAATTCTGATATCTTCACTCACAACTATTTGCCCTATTTTCTGTTGTTGCTAGGGTGAAATGATACCACACTGTAGTTTTCATTTGCGCCTAACAGCTCATGAGAGGGCTCTAGTGATAAGAATCTGTGCTGCAATCCCAAAGGCTCGTGGTTCAAATCCTCCAGTTGCTCCACCGAAGAAAGATGGACACTCTCATCCCATGCAATTACTGCCTCTGAAAACCCACTGGAGGGTCAGCTAGGGGTTGACAGTTTACTGTCCAAATTGACAGTCAACAAAAGTAGCTAATGATCTTAAGTGTCCATGTTTGTTGGCCATCTGAGTGTCTTCTTCAGTAAAGCAGTGTTTTGTTCCTCCCCAAACATACACACCTCATGTCCTCTGCCAGATTTTGAACTTGTCTTTTTCTTGTTGAAACTTGTTGGATTATTCTATAAATTTGCAATTAGTGCCTGTCAGGCATGTTGTTGCTGAACTTTTTCAGTCTGTACATTTTTTTCCCTTATTTTTTAAGAAAGTCTTATTTTTCTTCTTCAGCAGTGCTTTGCTTATCTGGACCTCTTTCCTTTCCATATTGAGTCAATGATTAATTAGTCTTCCAATCTCTTTGAAGAAAGATAATGGAGCCTGGATTGGGATAGCATTTATCTGTAAATTGCTTTTATTAATAACATTTTCACAATGGCAAGTCATCCAATTCATGAGCATATGTTATATGTTCTTCCATTTATGTGATCTGAGTTTCCTATACTATGTATTCTCATAGTGACCCTATGTACAACAGCTCTGACCCGTGCTCTATCTGAGCCAACCTTATTTTCTCTGACCCATTACCACAGTCACTGAGTCAATTCTTCTTCTCCAGGGTTTTCTACTCTTGCACTGTCCCTACACCTCCCACATGACATTCCTCTCCAAGGATTGGTTCTTCCTTGCAACATGCCTAAAGTATATCAGACGAAGCTTTAGAATCCTTGCCTCCAAGGAGCAGCCAAGTTTCACCCTCTCCAGGATCAATCTATTTGTTCTCTTAGCAGTTCATGGTATATTCAATACTCTTCTCCAGTACCACAGCTCAAAGGCATCAATTTCTTTTTGTAGGCCTCTTTTTCTCTGGTTAGCTTTATTTCTACACATTTAATCTTTTAGGTGCTATTGTAAACACATTTTAAATCCTTTTCAGAGTTCTCTGTGTTATTGTAGAACAATCTGACTGATTTGGATCTTGTATGCTATCACTCTGCTTCACTGGGTAACTAGACCCTTTAATTTTTGGAGTCTTTGGGATTATATA